GTAATTAGCCGTACTTTCAAATGAAGCCGTCATTCACTGCTCTACACATTACACTATCACATGGAGGCTACTCTGAAACGGTCCAAAGGCTTCTTACAGTGAAGCAGGGAAACCGCAAACCACAATGGGAGGAACCTGACTCAGGGAATGTGATGCAAGTATCCTCCCACAGTTTGTCCCCGTTCTTCCTCATTTTAGAATAGGTTAAACCAGTGGGTTTGGGGTGCTGCACTTGACATCAGCCAACAAGCAGCAATACAGGAAGTTCTGAGTCGAGCCATTCACTTGACTCACTGACCATTACAGGGACTATGGCCAGAATTGCACACAATCTTACACTCTCTTCTACTTCATGGAGTCTTCCACTGTGGGCTTTGCTCCTTCACTAAAATTTCAATTTAAAAATGTCAGAATCGTCATATTGTAACTTGGAATCATATTTACAGTCATTTCCCTGACATCAATCATCATAATAATAGATAGACAAAGCGTCTATAATGTCAAAATATCTCAAAGCATTTCACAGGCAATTTCTGTAAAGTGTAGTGACTGTGTATTTGTAAGCAAATCCAGCAGTCAATTTGCACACAGCAACGTCCCACAATCACAAAGTGATTTGTGGGTCAAGAAACCAGGAGAAACCTTTCTCTTTTCAAATCGTGTCACAGGAACTTTAACGTCCACCTGAGCTTTAACAGCTCATCCCAAGGTCAGCATCTCCGACAATGCAGCTCTCGAGTGTCAACCTTGACTGTGAGTCCCTACTTGGGATTTAAATCCACAACATTGTGATACAAAGCTGAGAATGTTACGAACCGACACGCACTGTCACCTGAAATGGTCTTTATTAATGATCTACTCTTGTGATTGTTACCTGCGCTAAAGCATCCAAGAGTTGAGAGCCTGTTCCCAAACACGTTGGCAATCTGTAGCCAGTGGCTAGGAGACAGCAATGAGCCACATGACCAACAGCATTCACCTCACATAAGTGAATTCTAAACAACATTTGCGATTAATGCCAGTGTTTTTTTAAAAAAATATATACTGCGAATATTACACTGAACAAAGTGGTTTTATTGATGAGAAGTGTGATCATTTCTTTGGGGGGTGGGGGAGGAGAGAAGGGCGAAATTTCAACCCAAAGTTTGTTTACTCTTAATTCCAAATCCACTTTCAGGCGCCAGAGAAAATCAAAGCGACAGGAGCTTTGCTCACACACTTGAGGCTCCTCCAGGTCTGGCTGTGATACCGTACATGCAGTAAATCCTGATAGGAAACAAACAATATACCATCACACAGCCATTCGTGCAGTTAATTTTAGTTTAAAAGCTTCTGGATTTCTTTACTATTAAGGTAGGGTAATATAAAATAATAAGCATCGTCTCTCTAACCTCCATTCTTATACCCCTCTCTCATTGACAGCTCAACTGAGCACAACTGGAACAAAAATAATTTCCAAAAGTTGCCAACAGGAATTTTCTCAGAAAGGTTTGAAATTGGGCTAATCTTAATTTAGCAGATGTCACAGCCAATCTCTGTGGGTCACGTCCCTGCCCCCATTTTACTAATTGTGGAACTTTGAGCAGCGAAGAAGAGCGTGAAGTTCAATGTTAAAAAGGCATCAGCAGGCAGCCTCGGAGGAAGGTGAGCGGCGCTGGTCGCCTTGGCGACATCCATTTTTGCGACTAAGATTAAAAAGCTGTGCGTTGCTGCATCCAGGGGAGCTTGTTTGGCTTTGGAGCCACTGAAATGCCCGAGAATGTTGGTTACCATTCTCTTGACACAGAGGCAACCCACTGTGAGGTCAAAGCTAAAATCAGCCTCACAGTACAATTAGAATTGAAGTCCTGACGCAAAGCAATGTGGCAGCCTCTTTTCTGCCTGGATTGATTATAAAATGGGACACGGAGCACAAATAGTGAGCTTGCACGATGCTGATAGGGTCAGCCTAAGGCAAGATTAAAGGGAAATGAAGAAAGTGTTCCTTTTAAATGCACATCAGAAGAAAAAGGGACTTTGTAAATTCAAGTCATGATGATTATTGCAAACCTACAGCTGCAGATAAGAGTTTACAGAAGATAATTTTCTCCACTGGGATATTTGTGGTACGGGGCAGGATTTATTATGCGGTGAAAGACCCAGGATATAACACTGAAGCCCACTGCTCTTCTGTCTCTGGTCTACAACAACAACATTTTTTATATATTTGGGAGAATGTCTCAAAACACTTCGCAGGATTTACTGTAAAATGTAGTGCAGCAGCCAATTTGTGCACAGCAACGTCTTTAAACAGCTGTGAAGAGATTGACCAATTTTTCCCAGGGGATTGTTGCCCAGAACACCGGGAGGAACTCATCTTTTCAAATAGTGTCAAATGTCCAGCTGAACAGTCAGCCGGAATCTCAGTTTAACATCCGATCAGAAGTTCGTCACCACTGTGCTCCAAAAATGAAGTTGCACTCACTGATCCTAATGTAGGATCGGACTGTGTCAGCCTGGCTCAGTGGGAGCATTCTCACCTCCAAGTCAGAAACGTATTTACGTTTGATTATTTAATTACTAATGATTATTGTATTATTACTAAATTTGTGGTTGTTGTCGCAGACCAGAGTCAGAAGAGCAGTGGGTGTGGGCTGAAGATCAAGATAATAATAATAATAATAATCCTTGCATTTGATATAGTGCTTTTCACGTCAGGAGGACGTCCCAAAGCGCTTCACAGAACACACTGTAAAGTGAATTGACTGTATATTTGTGGGCGAACGCGGCAGCCAATTGCGCACAGCAATGTCCCACAAACAGTCGTAGATTGAAAATGACCAATTTATTATTGTTTTTGGGTTTTTTTTGGAGGGATTATTATTAGGCTCTGTGTGGAGTAAGGAAACTTGCCCAAGGTTTCGCCTTCTGCCTGGAATTGAACTCAGGTCTCTCGCTTGCAAAGCGAGTGCTCTAACCACTGAGCTACAGGACTCCAAGATCGTGATGGATTGAAAACACATTAATGATTGGATTTTTTTTGTTTAATATTGTCATTGCAATCCGGAAATAGTAGAGGGTTAACCTCATGTACCTCATTCAACAGAATGCAGCAAGCTCTTTACACTTTGGAGGATGAAAACACATTCTACAGAAGTGTCTGCTATTCTCTGGTGGAATTTCTCTGCTGAGTCACTTCACCACAGCTGACTGACTGATTGAGTGAATTCAATATTGTTTTAGGGGCTTCTGAAAATCACTCTGAGGAGCAGAAAGAGGGGCAGAGCTTTCTCAGAATTATGAGAAGTTACTGGGTCACAGAGCAGGGGTCAGAACAGAACAAAAGATGAAGCAAAACAGGATTGTCAGCGTGTTTAAGGCAGATGACCTGAAGTCCGTGTGCGTGAGTGTGAGGGGTATTGGGAGTTGCAGGGCAGTGAAATACCAGCAGTGCCATTACTAGCTGACTGCACTCAACAACTGAAGCAAATCAAGAAAAACAAAAAAAGCCCATTAAAAGATCAGCATCGCCGGCTGGCCACAAGCCAGAGGCTGCTGTGATACAAACAATTAGGAATATGGACTGAGAGGTCAGTTTTTCTCCAGCTTACAACATGACTGGAGGCAGCTAAATCGAATTGCTAATATTAATGTTCAAAATATCCTTTAAGTTTTGTTCGGTTACTCGTCATGTCTCTGTGGGCACAGAGAAGACAGAAAATGGAACAGCACCTAAGCTCCGATCTCCTTGCTCAGTTAATTTAAACATAAGCTCCCGTGTAATGTGACAATAACCTTTTGAAGATCAGCAATGGGAATGTCAAGGGCATGATATGAAATCTTCAGGATCTTAAGCCAATGCACTTCCCTTCATTGAAATGAAAATGACCCTTCTTTCCCGAAGCCCAGCCAAGTTCACACTGGACAGAGCTATTTCCAGGTGTGGCTAATGTTGCCTTCACAAATGTTCAGAGAATCCTTCACATTTAATGCTTCTCAGACTATCAGCAGAATGTTGTGTACAGCCCAAAGCAGCACACAACATGCACAGCACATACATATAAAGGCCAGCACTAGGCCTGTAAGGGAAATTCCTCCAAGGTGACATTCCAGTACACTCCTGGGGAAGTGTTACACTGTGGGAGACGTCACCCTTCACATTGCTGTGGGTAAATGCACAGTCACTACACATTATTAACAGCAGAAGGCTTCAAAATGTTTCGATGTCACAGGTGATGTATCATACGCACAAATTAATATAACTACCTTCTGCTTTTGCCTTGTTTGGAAGCAATCCTGCTCGCTCTCTTGCAAGAACACCACAAGGCTGCAACCAAGTAAGTCACTGAGGTAATGGTTGAGACCAAAGTTCACCAAAAAAAAAAATGTCTTGTGCAATAATTTGGCATGTGGAATGCCAGAGTCTTCTGTTGTCACAACAGCCAAAGGGAGGCTGGAATTACTGCACCGAGTGGCTAAGTGGCTGATATAGGTACCACCTGCACTGCGATGAAGCAGGACTGGCATCACTGGCATTTACATGCTGGTGGGCGTAAACTTCCACTTAAAGTACCGCACAGCTCTACTAAATGGATCGTGAATGCCACAGAATGCCGGAAGGAAGGAAAGACGCGGAGGACATGTACAGCTGCACATTAATAGCAACTCAAACATTTGAACGGTGAGTTTGTAACCAAATCCATTTCCCATTACAAATTGCAATTTGCAGCGTGGAAAATGAGATCTGAAAGACAACAATGCACTTGATCCCTTGCCTCCACTGCTCACAAGATGCGTACGGCGTGCTTCCCAAGCACTGTTCAGGGCTATCGTTAGATCGCTGCTAAACCGTGAATCTGCAGAGAATGGGCTCTGGTATTAGCACAATGTAAGACCAACACTCCTTGCTGGGAGGAACCTTAAACAATGATCATTAGTGTCAGAGGATGCGGTGCCACAGAGTGTCAAAGCTTAGGGTAGATACACAAGAATGATTGAGATTACTTCAGCATGGAGCTTACCATTTGTGTAGGTATTGACATAGTATTTCCGCCCCTGTGGTGACATGTAGCATTGCCAGCCTTGTGGGAGTGGAATATTTGCCATTTCTTCAATTGTCTGAGGGCTTATTGATCCCGGTTTCTGTCAAAAACACAAACAAAATAAATAATTCTTCACTTTTTGTTTTGAAAGAAAAAGTAAATGTAAAAGCTCTGGGCTGCATGCGTATATTAATAATAATAATCCTTGCATTTTATATAGACTGTAAAGTGAATTGACTGTATATTTGTGGGTGAAACGCGGCAGCCAATTGCGCACAGCAATGTCCCACAAACAGTCGTGGATTGAAAATGACCAATTTATTATTGTTTTGTTTTGGAGGGATTATTATCAGGTGTGTGGAGTAAGGAAACTTGCCCAAGGTTTCGCCCGGCCGGAAATTGAACCCAGGTCTCTCGTTTGCAAGACGAGGGCTCTAACCACTGAGCTACAGGACTCCACAGATACAGGACTCCATATATGTTGTTAGAGACGTCAGCGTGTGAAGGGATTGCTAGGCTGGTCAGTGTTACCACCAATTAGAATGCTATTTGCATATGCAAATGCAATTCAAACTAACATGGAAGTAGGAACGACAGCTCCGGGTAAATGATCGCGAGTCAGACCTCATTTGGAATACTGTATTGAGTTTCAGGTAACCAATCATACGGGGATATATTGGAAGGTGTCTAGCGACAGTTTATTATAGATAAATACCTGGGCTTTACTATGATGACAGGCTGGGGTTACCTTCCTTAATGCAGAGGAGATTCAGGGGTGATTTGATTGATGTATTTTTTAAAAAATGGGAGTAATTGAGTCAAAGTAATTGGATCACTACAAAGGGCGTAGCTTTCAAAGCATAGCTAAACCCATTAGAGCTAAGGAAGAATTTCTTCACATAAGAGACGTGTGCGCTCCGTGGGAGAAATCTACAGGAGCAGAATCAGCAGGGATGTTTGAAAGAGCGACAGATACTTGAATAGCAGAGGTGCTCTGGGATTTGGTGAGAGAGAGCGGGGTATTGGAATTAAACAATCTGCCAACATCTAATAAGCTTGTGAAACAGGCTCGATGGGCTGTATATCTCACTCCTAGTTTCTTATGTTCCTAACAAGACTAGCATTGAAATTTAACATGAGATTTTTACTTTAACAAATAAAGAAAGTTTAAAAATAAGTAAATAAAGCAACTGCAAGGAGGTAGAGGAACATAGGACAAGGAAAACCAAAAGAAACATCACGGCAAAATGAAAAAAAATCACTGAATGGCACAAAAATTTAAATTTTTGGCTTGCCTTTCCATGAAGTGGAATCTTTCCATCACTTCACTACTGTTGCTATGAATGAGAGATTTTTGTATCAATATTTGCCAATGTCAAACCAATCAGCGAATGCCTTTTTGAGGTAAAGCATCATGCAGATTGCAAGCTAGTTTTGTCAAGGAAGACCATCTTTTTTAAACAAATTCAGTACAACGGAACTGGTTAATGTTTCTTCATAAACGGCGGATATTCAGCCAGGGAAACTGACTGCCAGAAGCTATAGTGAAAGCAAAAAGCATCAATGTATTTAAGAGTCCAGTAGCGTAGTGGTTAGAGCAAGCGAGAGGGCCTGGGTTCGATTTGGGCAGGGTGAAACCTTAAGCAAGTTTCCTTACTCCACACGCCTGCTACCTAGCAGTAAATAGGAAGCTGGTCATTAGTTGTTTGGTGGATTGCTTTTCTGGGGGGGTAATAATCCATTAAAAAATTAATAATTATAGGTCACTCAATCCATAACTGTCTGTGGGACACTGCTGTGCTCAATTGGCTGCTACGTTTCTCTCACAAAATATACAATCAAATCACTTTACAATATATTCTGTGAAGCGCTTTGAAACGTCTCGAAGACGTGACAAGGTTATATCTAATGCAAGGATTATTATTATTATTACAAGAGAAAACCTGATGGCGAGGGGAATAAGAGGGTTGGAGGCGGGTGTCGTGTAACACCAACGCAGAATAGTTGAGCCAAATGGCTCATTTCCGTGCTGTATCATTGTATGTAACCAAGGACAGGGAAAAATGTCAGATTGTGCAGATAAAGTTTAACTTTTGTAAGCACTTCCCTAAAAACCACAAGCGGTTTGACAGCAGCAGAAGCAGAGCCCCTGTGGCCCAGCTTTTTTGTGCTTGGAAATAAAGTATTGTGCTGACAAAAGAAGGATATTAGATTACCACAGGAAGTAGGAAACAAAATAAATTCTGGTTCGAGTGGAGCAGGAAACCTGAAAAGGGATTTCCTGAACTTTGGGGTTCCAACTTGCGAGGAGGAGAGAACAACTTTTCAATATTTCAACCTCAGCACTTCCACATTTAAAGGAACACTCCCTCCAAATCGGTACTCTTTACAGTTATCCAAGTTTCCACTCTGCCACACCTACTATCCTGTTGCCTTCTTTTTAGTTCCTTGAATTTTTTAACCCATAAAATATACAGTTAATTCACTTTCCAATATAATCTGTGAAGACGTCTCGAAGACGTGATAAGGCACTGTATCAAATGCAAGGATTGTTAATAAAACACCCCGGGACTCTTCCTTGCCATGAAAGCCACTGTAATTATTCTATATAATTATTGTATTATTATATATAAATGCAAGTTGTTGTATGGGCAGGATGGAGGGGTAATGTGTAGCATTTGCAAACTACTGTATTTGAAGTCTAACTTGTGTATTGCTTAATAAGGAACCGTGTCAAGCAAATTTACACCACTTTGATGTGACCAACTTCTCCTTGTGGGGAATTCTAACGGATCGTTTATTATAGAATGTTGGTAAGAAATACCACAACTTAGATCCCATAGTATCTTTTCCGAGGTCGGTTTTAGATTTCCTAAGATACCCACTTGTCCTCACATGTCCCTGATGGAGCTTTGCGAGAGGGGATGTCGTTCGAGGGATAACGATGGCAGAAATAAACAAATACACAAAGGACAACCTACACAACAATTAACTGAGATCACAGAGTCAGGTCACAGTATCAGCCTTTGCTGACTCCAAATTCAACCCACTTTCATTTCCAATGCCTCCTCAGTGGATAATACACTAGTGTTAAGCCTCCCTCCCACTCTCCTGTCATCAAGCAGCTGAACAAAATAGTTACTGATGCATAAGCACCGAGCATTTGACTACATTCCTAAAACTGTATCAGCCTCGAAACACAGGGAACAGCAGTTTGATTGCTGTGCAGCACTTGATGCAAAGTGAATTTTGAACATTCATTAAGAATTTTTTGTATGGAACTAATAACAGTCTAAGAATATGACTTTGACAGTTTTGAAATGAGTTGACTTACTATTTATAGCGAACACATCTTTTAATGTCCATCTCAACCACCAAATAGGCCCTGAGTTAACACATCATCTGAAGGATGGCACCTCCTAGAATTAGTGCTTCCCCAGGACTGCACTGCAGTGTCAGCCTTCACTGTTAGCCTGAGAGACTGTTTGGTCTTAAAATTTAAGATCGCACAGAATTGAGAAATATCATTTGGTCTCAACAACAACAAAAGTACAGTTGTATAGCACCTTTCACATCAGGAGGACGTCCCAACTTCAGCTCAGATTTATTGAAGTAGCTAATTTAGTTCTGGTCAGGTCAACCGGGTGTCTGACTCACCCTTTATCTTGTGTAAGAATCTCCAAGCCAAACTACCAAGAGTTGCACAATGTGACGGAAATTTCCATTGGGCTAGAGTTGAGGGCACACTCTCTTTCTCCTTCACCCTCTCCCCAGAGGGAAGCACCTGCTCACCTCAACCTGGAAAAGGTATTAGAAGCAGATTGGGAAGGACCAAAGCTTAAGGAAGCCCAGTGTGTGCCAGGGGGACTGGGGTTTAACCAGCTAAAATCAGCCACGTATGGAGTGTATTGTGGGCTGAATAAATGTATAAATAACAGCCATCCTAACAAATACTTCTTGTGGTTCAAACAATTCATAAAACTGCCACTCTGAGTTCAGAATGTACTGTCCAAGAATAGATTGCAAGGGCTATAAAATAAAGTAAAAGGATTCGACATGATATCAACCATTGTGACTGCACTTTATAAATGTCCTTTGAATCCAAGATTGTGTTGCAAGCAAAGGCTCCGCAATTTCCAGATATCTTCCAGAGCTAACTAATAAATGCCTCGTATGGAAAAAGTCTAGTCATTTGTGGCATATTTCACAGTGAACATCTCTCTACTCCTCACAAGGTCCCATTATCAAGTTTAATTTTAGCATCCAATAAAGACCCTCCCAACAAATAGCTTGATGCTGTAATGGGAGGATGATAGGCTGGGGATTAAATGAACAAGAGCCTTATTCATCTGAACCTCTCTTGTGGCATCTTGTAAGCCCTGAGCTAAACGGATCACTCCCCTGAAAGTACATACAGTGGAGCCCCATTATAGTGCGGTAGTTGAGGTCCGTAACATCACACCCAGCGCAATAATGGGACAGGATAGCCGGTCAATACTTTCACATTCACTGTGTATCTGCGCAGAAAGACAAAGACAGCCAATGCGCCAGACCTAAATAGCTGGGGGTTGCGGTTGCTGCATTGTCAAAGATGCCAACTTTCAGATGAGATGTTAAACTGAAGTTCCACCTGCCTGCCAGGTGAATACAGAACTATTCAAAAAGAGAAGCGAGGTTCTCTCTCCCGGTGTTCTGGCCAACAATCACCCAGATAAAATTGATCATTTCGCTTCATAGGCATTGGTTGGATGTTGCTCTACACGAATGAGCAACAACATTCACCTACAAAATATACAGTCCCTGCATTTTACAGTAAATCCTGTAAAGCGCTTTGAGATGTGTTCCACCCGAGAAAGACGCTATATCAAATGCAAGAAATATTATTGGAATAAAAATATCCTGGGATGCAAACCAAGAACCTCTGCTATACACCCCAAATACCCAACCCCTTCAGCATCTCACAGCAGGTGGCACTTTAATATTGCGAGCTACTATGCTGCAGAAACTCTTAAAAAGCCTGTGGATAAAACGCGCTTGTTTTTTTTCCCCTTCTACATGGACCAGAGATAAGTCAGTTGGAAAGCATTTACTGAAGTGGAA